TTCCCTAGTTCTCACATATTTTGTGATTCTGGGTAATGCCCTAAAACAAACGCTTTCCCAAGAGACCATACATTATTATGCTCTATTTTCTGTGATGTGATGTTGGAGATACCAGGGTCTACCTTAAAAAGGAATGTTAGCAGTACCAGAGAAAACCCTATCATTAAATGAATTTTATGTTCAGAGCTTAAAAAATGCTGAATGAATTGGTGCTCCATTTTCAACAACATGAAATACATTATTGAATAACTGGTTCTTAAATGAGTAGCATTTCTTCTATGCTATAGACAGCAGTATTCTAAAAAAGCATTAACAATACAATACATATTATAAATAGCAACAATACGTATAGAAAAACTAGTGCATTTGTATATGAGTATGAATATAAGTGAGATATAGGAGTAAGACGTGAGTTTTCTTATATAAATACAGGAAAACTACCTATCAGGACTTTTGCAAATTACCCAGGCAAATGTAGAAAAACCTGTTGACTATCTGGCCATTCATGTATGCAAAACAGTATCAGCAGAGAAGCAAACATAACTTAGCAATGCCAAAAGCTGCCTAAGAAAATGAGATTTCTTTTTTTAAGTCTGTCACGAGGTGTAGGAACTCCAAACTTTGATACTGTCACCATTAAAATGAAGAAAGCAGAAACTGGCAGCTCATCTGGGGAATAAGGAGTTTGTATTCCTGCACTCATTTTGCATTTCCTTATGTCACTGTGGGGAATGGCACATTGTTCTGCTCATTCAAGCTGGTGGCATCTGGTGTGCTTGCTCAGAGAAGGTTTCAGGTTTGTCTTGAGGTGGAGAGGAGCACTCAGTGGCTTCTGCAAGTGAGCCCCAACAACCCCACACAGTGCTACAGGCTGGGGGCAGAGTGGCTGGAAAGCTGCCTGGTGGAAAGGACCTGGGAGTGCTGATCCACAGTGGCTGAACATGAGCCAGTGTGTGTGCCCAGGTGGCCAGGAAGGCTCATACATCCTAGCCTGTACCAGCAATAGTGTGGCCAGCAGGAGCAGGGCAGGGATTGTCCCCCTGCACTCAGCACTGCTGGGGCCACACCTCCAGTGCTGGGTCCAGCTCTGGGCCCCTCACTGTGAGAAAGACATTGAGGGGCTGGAGTGAGTCCAGGGAAGGGCAGTGGGGCTGGGGCAGGGTCTGGAGCACAAGGGCTGTGAGGAGCAGCTGAGGGAGCTGGGGGTGTGTAGCCTGGAGAAAAAGAGGCTCAGAGGGGATTTTACTGCTCTCCACAACTGCCTGAAAAGAAGCTGTAACCAGGTGGGGTTAGTCCCCTCTCCCAAGCAACAAGTGACAGGACAAGAGGAAATGGCCTCAAATTGTATCAGAGGAGGTTGAGGTTGGACATTAGGAAGAATTTCTTCACAGAAAGGTTGTCAAACGCTGGACCAGGCTGTCCAGGAAAGTAACTGAATCACCATCCCTGGAGGTATTTCAAAGACTTTTAGATGTGGCACTTAGGGACATGGTTTAGCAGTGGACTTGGCAGTTGATTGTTACCTGTTAAAGATCTTCTCCAACCTAAGCAGGTTTGTGATTCTCCCCAGGAGAGCACTGAAAAGACATCAATGCCATATGTTGCCTTTGGTGTAATCCTGATAGTGAACTTGACTTCCAGAGAAGCTGTTCTGATTCCAGACACTCAGAGCCATGTAATTTTTGGTGGTTTGTGGAAGGGAGCATTGGTGTTAGAAGGATCTGGCTCCTGAGTTTGTGCTTGGAATTGAGGAAATCAAAAGTGCACAGATGGAGACCTTAGTTGCAGCAACTGATTTTTAAGCTGAAATACTCCAATTTGAAACCTCTTTAGATGCCTCTGTGTTATAGTGTAGGTTCATAAAATGGGCTGTGAAGTTATTCAGACGGGTGACATTTTACTGAGCTACTTTCCAGGCACATAAAGCATGAAAAACTTTGAGTTTGTCTGATATATCTGAATAGTGTCTGCAGATAAAAGTGGATGAGCTTAAGTTGATTAATTAACCACAGAGGGTTAATTGTGATAATCTGTAGATCAGATTATCTAACAATATGTGCTTTCTTTCTGCAACTCCTGCTTCACCTGTGTTCTTAAATTACCTTAATGAGTATCTGGCTGCTGGGTTCAGGGTGACTCTTTCCTTGCCGCTCGCTGCTGGTAGAGGAAAAAAACCAGACTTCCTTGTTTGGAAAGTTCAACATTTGTACTCAAATATCTATTAGTGCACCTAAACATTCAAAAAAACCCCTCAAACACAGATCCTTAATTTTTATCTTGTTGTTCTGACTTAAAGCCAGAGGGCTCACAGTTTTGCCTGCTCGGACAGCATATGGGCTGTTTGCTCCTGTTTTTTTAAAAAAGGGGTGTTGCTACTCTGTGTCAGGCAGGAGAAGCCCTGGTCACTCCTTGGCTCTCCTTTCCCTGAAGAGAAAGGGAGCTCTGAAGTCTCCAAGGGCAGAATGAGAGAGTGTGGTGAGGACACCAAGGCGCAGAATGCAGAGCTGGTGGGGATCATGTGCTGCATGGGTCAGTAACGCAGCCGGAGCGGGGCTGCCTGCGGGACAGGGCAGAGCTCTCTGTGGGGGCTTTCTGTGGGTTTCCTTCCTCAGCTGGTGTTTATGTGGTCATTTACCTGTTTTCTGCTTCATCTGGGGAGTTTCGTTTGGTGTGCTGTGCTCTGAGCTCGAGCGCACTGAACACTGGCGCTGTGTTTTTTCTCTTGGCGTGCATTTGCTGTTCTGGGGGCATTTGGGTTTTAGATTTAAAATCACAGTTGTGGTGTTTTGGTGGCCTTTCCCCCCTTTAATACTGATGTCTGTCACAACATGACAGGTGTCAGCTTTCCTCTTCCTTATGCATTTGGGTCTGTCAGTTACGGAATTTTTCTGAGTGTTTGTGTAATATATATGTATATATAAAGGAACGAGGGTAGTAACCATCAATTCTTTTGTGTATGTTAGCATTTTAATTGAAAACAGAGTTGAAATGAATAATGACTTTGTGTTCTAACATGATACAAGAAAGTGAATTATTCAACCTTTTGTTTTTCTAACTGTCATCAAAGTAACATTTACCAAAATGTAAACTTCTGTGTATTTGGTCAAAACGAGGTGGGATTACCTTAGTAAAAAAGACACTTTGTACACATTGTGAAATCCTGCAGTTGAGAAACTTTGTCTTCTTTTAAAAAGAGTACTCATAATGAAACAGTTAAAAGTGAAAGTGTTTCTGGACTTATTTTATTTCTGATATTTTCTGTTCTCTACATTTACTTAATCAAATCTTCCACTTTATTATGATAAATCACTTACGTCAGAAATGGTGTCTTGTTAGGTGAAGGCTATGGAGAAATATATGTATAGCAAAAGATTTTCTTAATCTGCCAGATTTTTTTTTCCCCAGTAGTACAGCTTTGCTCTCTAGTTTCTCTATCTCCTCTTTATTTGGGTCTTCAAGTAGAAGAAAAGACTGTAGAGCTATGAAGTGGGGGGAAAAAGCATATGCCGGAAGCTTAGAATATGTTGAGTGGTGTGGAAAAAGCATTTAGGAAACAGCACCTCTTCTGCACAGAGCCAAACGTACAAGCACAGTTCACATTCTGCCTGAAGATTTCATTGCCACAGTGAGCTGGGGCTGTAAAAGTTATGGATGTGTTAAAAAGGATTGGAAAAAAAACAGAAAAAAAATGTATCTATGACTATTAAATGCAAAGATATGAATGAACATGTATAAAGTCTGTGAGTCACATAAGAGGGCTATGCAAAGGCTTCACAGGCTTTTACTTGTTTTCTTTTTGCTTTTGTTCCTCAACAGTCATTTCTCACTGCTGTTAGGAACCCCATAAGGTGCTCAGTTTGGCCCAGGATGAACTCTTGTATGATATCTTGCTGTTTTGAAAGACTTCAGTATCGTACTATGGATTTGAAAGACCTTCTGTGAATTTATTTTAATTTATTAATTGTTATAGTTGACCAACCTGAAAACTGTATTTTTTAATGTAAAATACAGGACCTGGTTCAGTCTTTTAGTGATGGCAATAGGTACATAGGGATTTTGTTTTGCTACCTGAGCCCATTGCTCATTCTCAGCCACAGTGCAAGTAGCCTGAGTCAATGAAACAGCTGCAGTTGTGTTGTACAGGACTGAAGGACTCTTGCTATTTTAGACAGGCACAGGTGGTCCCAGTCCTGAGACACTGTGACTCCTGCTCTGGGGAGCCCTGGGATGGTGACCAGGCTCTGTAGCTGTTGTGCTGGCTGTGGCCCTGCTCAGGTAGCTGGAGATAGCTCTTGTGCTGGGGTGGTTGTTAGGTTTTCTCCAGTGTGGCTTGGCAGAACACATGCTCCCTATCCATAAGTGGGATGCTTTCTTACCCCGAGTCCATTGCATTTATTATTTCTGCTCAGCATTTCATGGGCAATCATTGATGCTGACTGTCATGCCAGGGAGCAAACTGCTGGCTGGGCCCCATACCTGGGTTAGTGGACATCCCTGCTTATTTTGCAGAGGGTTGGGAGTCCTTTCCCTGGCTGAAGCTGTAACTAGCCCTTGTGTGTTTGAACAAGGGTGCTGTGCCAGTTGAAAAGCATAATGATTGAGAAAGTTAGCTTTCATATCACAACAAATTTTCTATTGCCCAATACACTAGTAACAATTTGATGATATAGACCATGAGTAGCATTTATAGTTCTTAAGAGTTTGCCATGACCTTTTCAGTGCATTGTGAGTGCCAGTTTACTTTTTCAAGGCAGTTAGATTTTTGTCAGTAGGCTACTGTTGCCCTGGAGGAACTCACCTGGAGTGTCAGGAAAATCGTGCTGTGATGTACTGAAAAAAACCCAATTTCTGTGCTATTATTTTGATTAGACATTTTGGAGCTTTTGCAGGCTGTTCTGTTTTTAAAATTTATTAGAAAAGTAATTTTCTAAAGGTCTTAAAAAATCTTCTGCATGATTTGTAGAGCTGTTAAAACATTTGTTTTTCCTTTTTTCCTCTAGATGAGCGTGACAAAGTACAAAAGAAGACATTCACAAAATGGATAAATCAGCATCTCATGAAGGTCAGTTGTTATTTCTGTCTTGTCTGGATGACTGATTGCTACAGCAGTGATTGTGTCTTTTACAACATGTTTGATTTCAGGATGCAGCTGTGTTACATGTAAGGAAGATCTTAAATTGTGAGGTTTATGCGTGTGCTTTGTCTTTGAGGAGTCATGAGGGAGTTGAAATGCTGCCCAAGGATGATCTGATGGAGTACTTGAATTTGAAATTAAAATGAGTCTAAGTTGATTTCTTTCTATAAGGCTTGGCTCATTTTTGGAATTTGTGTGTCATGGCTGTAGTACCACAGCAAAAGCAAGTGAAGGAAAAAATATTTGAAATACCATGCTGAGGAGAGGGAAATGACCTTGAGAGATCTCTAGATTATCCTGTGGCATCAATATGCTGCTCATGGATTAGAAATAAGGCTTTCCAGGGGCAAAAGTCACTTTTCAATATCTTTCTTTTCAATAGCAGTGAACTTTGCTTCAGGGACAGACCATATTATTTTAACACTGTGTACAGATTTTAGTTGACAGAGAACTAAAAGCTGTGAGTTCACCTTGACTGCATGGCCCTTCAGTTCTAAATTTGCTAAATTTGCTGTCTCTGGAGAAACAGATTGTATAATTACTTGACATAACTTCCTTTGATCTTCCCCCTCACTCTGAGGTTGAATTCATGTAAAATTCACATTAGATGAAAATGTATCTGAGTTGATGAAAATAAAAACTGTCAGAGTTGAGATTTAATTAATGAGTGCAATGTTAAAATTCTGTTGGAAAGATCTCCTTGTATTCATGTTTAGAGAAAAATAGAGTTTTTTAGGGAACAACTTCATTATTTCTCTTTCTTGTGGCTACTCTTGCAGATATTTGAGCAATATTGGACACCGAAACAAAAGAGAGTTCCTACAGGGTTGTGGATTTTTTTCCCCCTGCATCTTTAAAAATTTTGGGATGTATGTAGCTCTTGGGAATAGTGTAATATGGGAAATTAACCAGGCTTGGAACTGAAGTTGGACTCAAATTTGTCTTTTGTAAGACACCTCTCTTGCAGAGGGATCTTTTGGTCCTTCTCATCATGACTGAGCCATCAGCCATCATGTTTCTATCAGCCTCTGTGCAGCGTAAAACCTTTCTGTGGGCAGGGTGAGTGTGGAGTCGCAGAACTGCTCATCCCAATCGGTTTCCCTTTGTGAATTTTGTTAGACCCAAGGGAAGCATGCTGTGTCTAGAAACAGCTGCTCCAGGGACCCCTTCTGTGCAGAAGTCTCCTCTCTTTATTCCTAAAACATCCAAGTGGCCCCATCTCCCTGCAGAAAATTTTACTTGCTAATGAGAAAAGACAAAAGGCAGTTCTGCAGCCTTCCTTTAGTGAATTTTGCCTCATGTTTATAATATAAGAAATGTATCCATTGTAGAATACTTCAGAGAAATTAAAGGGGAAAAAAAAGCATCCAGGAAGGTTGCCAGGACTCAGGAAGTAAAATGCAATATCCAAATTAACCATCAGGCATGTCTTCAACTAATTGAGAGTAATTGTTGTCATGTTATAGAGCCGACTCATGTTTTTGTGTATTAAAGAAGCATTTTAAAAATGCAGCTTTAGTTTTCTGTGGGATGCAGAAAAGCCTATGTGAAGCTTTTTGGAGATCAATCCTTTAATATGGGTTAAAAATAGTGCCTTATTTTACAGGAGAGCAGTGTACTGAAAATGATATTTCTATACAATTTCATTTTACACATTTCTAAAATATGCATAGTCATCATTTCCATGCTGTCAGCCTCTTGGGAGTAGCTTAAAAGAGATTTGGATTCTAAACCCATAAAGAAATGAGGGTAAAGAGTTCACTCCAAATCCTTTTGCGTTGCTTGCCAAGGTCAGTGGCCTTAGACCTTCATTTCCAAATAGTTCTGGGTTGGGTGATTGCAGAGGAATACAGATAGAAGAGACGGATGGGGTGTGTTGACTGTGTGTATTGCTGGCCTTGATCTTCATCTCAAATTGCTCACTTTAGAATTCAATTTAAGGGTTTCTAGTTCATACAAATATATTTTGACTATAGCTCTTCCATTAACTTGGAATTTATGTAGCAACTCAACTTTGTCTTCTGGAAATAGTTTGAAAGCAAGTGGTGATAAAGTTGTCAGATTTCTGTTCTTAGACATTGTTTCTAGAACCGTGACTTCTATGGATTTAAAATCAATGTTTCAAGTGTTCTCTGTCTTAAGACATAAGGACCTATTTAGAAAGCAAACAGGATAATGTGGAGGGAATGTAGAAAAATAGCACAGTAAATGAGTGCATTTCTAGCAGAGACAATGGCCTTCTCCTAGGCAGTGCACTGAATTGAACCTCATTTCCAGCTGCCTCATATTTCATACAAATTCTATTCAACTCATATTTGCACATTCACTGTGAATACCTTGTTTCAGACGAACCATTTGGGAATTGTCTCATTTCAGGCATTGCAATAGGTTTATTTGAGCTGGTTACCCAGATTTGGTTTAGCAGATGACTGAGGGAACAGGCCCTTTTCAGTGTTCCTCCACTAAGACGTCTACCTAAGGGGAAGATGAATTTTATCCTAGAAATGCTTTTGCTCCACTGACTGTTAAAGGAAGTCATGTCTGTCATGTGTAGGGTCCAACAAGAAGCAGAAAAGATGATAGTGAAAATTATGAGAGTTCTTGGGAAAGACCAGACCACACATGTGGACATGTCCCCACTATGGGCTTGGGGATGGATCACATTTTAATTTCATCTTTTTTCCCCTCCTATTTGTGCTCTTTGCTTTCTTTTTCCTGTTTCTTTTCTCTGTGCTCTGATTATTCTTTTGCTTTTATTTTTTCTCTTTTCTCATCTCTTTTCACATTTCCCTTTTTTATTTAGTGCTTTCCTTCCTCATTCTAATTAAACTCCTATTTTCCTGCAGTCCTTGAGAAAGTCCCAAATTTGCATGCTTTTATACCAATATATCTAAGAGGTTTTATTCTAGGTCAGCAGAAATGATGATTTTATGAGTTCCCATATTTTGCTGGGGAATGGCATGGGAGCCTACTGTCACTCTGCTAATTAAGTTCTATATTTATGGTGTTTACTAAGTAACCACAAAGAACCAGATGACTATAAATATTTACTCTTCTGCTGTCTGTTGCCCATCTCTGGTTGCATTAGATTCAAAATGTGTAAATGCATAATATTTAAAATTCAGTGTTAGTCCCTTGTCAGTTTAGTTGAGCAGTAAAGCATGTTATGTGCTTTGCTAAAGTAGAAACATAGTCATTGCAGAAATATTTCCTGCTTGTGTTCTTGAGATACCTAGTTTTTGACAGGTATGCAGCGTGTTATTTGCAAAATTCAGCTGTTCAAGTTATCTTTGAATTCCACAGTTTAAGGTCAAGTGGACTGTCTCTAAGTTTTTTTAATGCTAATTTTTTTTAATGCTGAAATTTTTCTTTTGAATTGATAACAGATTTTCTGAGGACTGGTTGGAGCTTTAGAGTTGCTAAGGCTACTGTTTGCTGTCTGATGGTGTGGCTCCAGTTTAAATGTTATCTTTTATGTCTTGTTGACATACAGACTGGAGAGGTGAGATATTGGACTTTAGACTAGCCTGCTGCTGTGGTATGAGCTGCCAGGGAGAGTTCACATGCCCGTGTGTGTGGTGGTGGGGCAGAGGTCTCCTCTCTCCTCTCTTCTTGGAAGCAGCCTCTGCTTCCAGCAAGTGTTTCACTCTGCTGCTGTAAAAATAGGGTGTTAAATCTTGCTTGAGCAGTAAGTAACCCTTGATGTGACACGAGCCGGTAAATTTGTGGCTGCATGTTTTATTCTAGTGTAGTGTTCTCATGGTCCTAAAGTGCCCAAGGAGAAATCCAGCCTCCATGAAAGCCCAGAAATTCTTCCTGACATCCTTTGAATTCAAAACCCCAAAACTTAAGGAACTAATGAGGCATGTATGAAACACTGGTGGAGGATGAGATGAAAGTCATAAAATAAAATAAGCTGTTGATGAAAACAGAGTAAAAGCAGATAAATTCCTCTTTGTTGTTGATTTTATTTTTCAAATCAATTAAAAAATATTTTTGTAGTGCCAGGTCCTAGTCCTGAGAGATTAAATAGGCTATTTTGAAATACTTTGTTTCTTTATTAGAACTTCGGATGTACAGAAAATAGAACTAAAGGCAAGGCAAGCAGAGACTGGCTAGTGATAGAGTGAACACTTCCCTTCAAGGGAAAATGTTTCTTTGTTTTCATAGAATAAAAAGTTTTAGAGAGCCTCTTAATTGGCCTTCTAGCAACACCCTGTGTGCCTGGGCAGCTCTGTGGAGAGGGAGAGCTGTCCCCTCCATGGCACTGACAGGGAGCCCAGCCCCTGGTGCCACCTGCAGTGTGGGCTGGGTTTTGGGACCCTTGGCTGACCATACATTGGGAGAAACAAGCTGCTGGTGGGAGCAATGGGCAGCATACCTTCACATCCATTAGTTGCTCCAAAAGTCAGTTTAAAAGGTGTTATTAACCAGAAGGCTTTTGTGAGTAGCTGGACAAAATGCTTTTGAAAACTATTGTTTTAAAGCCCAGTGTTTAAAAGCATGTACTGTATTGCAGTGATAGTGCATTAGCGAGAGAGAGAACAGCTTTTTGTTGTGCAAAGACTGAATGAATAATTCAGAATAGAAACCTGAAGTTATTGATTCCTGGGTGTCCTTCAGGCAGCACAGGGTTTGCAAATGGCCTCTTAGGTCGATTGCTTTGTGAAATGTTCAGGTATGACCTTAATGGCAGCAGGATCGACCATTCCTGATAGAGCTCAGTCATTCCTTGCTGAAAGCTGGCACTTTACTGACACTAGTGGTTATCATTTTAGATAGCACTGCTCTCAGTATCTTCTTTTCCAGCCTGCAGTTAAAATGTTATTTAAAATTCCCCACCTCTGCTTTTATAAATGAGTACTTTGTAGCTCTGCATTGGTATTAAAGGATGAGGGATGAGGTGCCTGGTGTTAGTCTAATGGTAG